AGGCCGACAAATATACAACTGATTTTCTCGCTGAAGGCATCGGTTCAACGGAATGCTCTAATGAACTTCCCCATGCCAAGCTGGGCAGAGCATGCGCAAGGAAGCCAACAGCAGCTCAGGGAGAGGAAAGAGGTGTACATGAGGATGACATGGGACCAATATGATGATGAGTGCAGATTGCCGGTGTATTGTTTTGACGCCGGTGTATTGTTTTGACAAGGCGTGTGAGCTGCCTCTGTTTGTATTTGCACATACTGGTGCTAATACCGTCTCCGAGCTGTTAGAAATTGTTCTGCCTCACATTTGGGGGGGTGATGAATTTCTGTCCCTGTTTGAAATACTTCCGCGCGTCGTTAGGCAGCAGATTCTCCTCCTCTTCCGCATTTCCGTCGGCCTGCGCTTTCTTGCGAGGCGCCCGAGGAGCTGCCTTTGCCTTCGGTGACGCCTTGGGTTTTGTTGGCTCCTTTTTCTTCGGAGCCTTCGGCGCTTTCTCCTTCTGCATGCCATCCCATCCAGACGGAACAGAAGACGATATGCAACAAATGCAATCATAAACAATTGCCCCTTACAATTGAGATGCGTCCGCCCACGTATGCAGAAAGGGACTCGACTAACAAATTACAGCATAAATACTGCTGATTCGTTGGCATCATGCAGCGAAAACAAAAAAAATGAACTGTGGGATTGTAGTAGAAGAGAGTTCCTGGACAACACCAGGTGGTACAGAGACACTTAACTGCATTCAAGTTGCGTTTGAACCCATTTAAAGAGATGAAGACAAGCCACATACTAATTCTCACCACTGCAGGCTTCTTCTTCGGTGACGCCTTCTTCTTTGCCACTCTTTGCTTCAAAGGAACGTCATCATCGCTCGTGTCGGACATTATGGTTTACGTGCAGCCGAAATGCCGGCGGAACGGCGGGAAACCTCGGATTTCCAGGAGGCTGAATGTCTCCTTAATGGAATATTGGCCAAATTAGATCCGTCAAATCAATGTGAGAAGAGGAAAATGATTGGAAAACTCGAACAGAACCTTGACGATCGCAGACTTGAAGTGCGTACACCGGCTGGTCGGCCGCAGGCTCCAACGAGAGAGCCTTCCCACCTGCTGCGCTCAA